GTGGCACCACTGAGCTACATCCCCGGCCCTTGTGTTATAGTTTTGCTCATTCATTAGAGACAAATTCATCCTGGTTGACAAATTCATCCTGGTTGCATCATTTTATTTATGATGCTTTTCCTCATTCCCGTACCCTTCAAATGATTTATTATATTTTTCTTAAAATTAGCACATCTAATTCTAGCCAGTAAGCCATTTACTAAGAATATAAATGAATATTTTTAGAAAATATGATCCAGTTCTGTGAATTGGGGGTCAGAAATGGCCTCCCTGAGCACAGAGCAAAGAACTCACATCCTGTGAATAAATTCCCACAGCATAGGTGCTCGCAGGGCTGTTCTTTCTAATAAACTGCATTTCCCCCACTGTTACCTTCTGTAGAAACAGTGTGGATATTAAAGAAGTGTTAACAAATAAAAAAAATTGTGTGTGTTCATTGTGGGAAAATATAGATATTATCATTTCACATTTTTTACTATTTTAAAGTGTATATTTATTTGAGGGGCATCAAGTATATTTCTACTGTTGGACAACCATCCACCACTGTCCAAATCCAGAGCTTTCTCATCCTTCCAAATCTAGCAATGTATTCTAAATGTTGATTTTCTTTTAATGAAGTAGGAAAGGCTGCCCCGAATTCCAGCCTGCGCCTTACAGGTCATAAGGAGGGTCACAATGCCATAATTTCCTTTAATCCTCCAATAACCTCAGGGAATTCATGCTCCAGTTTTCATCCCACCGAGTAAGAAACTGGTGTGGGTCCGGGACGCAGAGGGAGCAAGTGTCAGAGAGCGGGTGTGAGTCACCACGTGAAACGCCCCCCAAAGACGCAGGTGTAAAAGCTTGGTCCCCAGCCTTCCAGGCTACTGGGAGGTGGGAACCTTTGAGGTGTGACACCCTGCAGAGGGAAGCTAGTTCTTTGCGGTTGTGCCTCGAAGGGGCTATCAGGGCCCTCACCTCTCCTCTTCCTGGCCTTGGCCCCCTAGCAGCCTCCTCCACCATTTCTCCTGCCGAGATGGTTTCTTCTTTTTAATTTAATGTTTAAATTTATTTTTAAAAAATGAGTCCACATTTGTCATAAGTAACGATCACATTCATTGTAGGGAATCTGTGCCTGTACTCAACATATCTTGATTCTTTTTACCTCACACCAGAGAAGCAATGCCATACTGTGTTTAAACTTGTGCGTCCAATTTATTTCACTTAAGGTTTGGTGCCACCATAGCCTATCTTGCCACAGGCCCCAAAGCAACGGTACCCATGGACCACGGACTAAAAACGGTGAAACCTCGTGCCTTAGGAAGCGCTGACTCCTTGTGAGTCTGTCGCCTCAGGTCCTTCATCACAGAGACAGAGAGCTAACCCAGGGGGCTCGCAGAGAAGGTGCTCCTTGGGGCTCACCCACTTGGCTCTGTGCAGTGAGGGGCGCTCCCCACCCCAGATCTGCCCCTCAGTCAGTCTGCTCCACTTCCTTACCACCGGCCAGTGCGGGTGACTCCTTGCTAGGTCTGGGCCAGTGAAAACCCACCTGAGGCAGGTGCTGCCCAGCCTCCCCTCTTGGCTCGGCTTTGGGGGCTCCCTCCCCCACTTCCTCCTCCCCACTTCCCTGTCCGCATTTCGTTATCGCTCACCCCTGGCTCTGCTCTGCCACCTGGCTCCGTGTACTGACACAGAAATTCCCCTCATCCTCCGTCCTCCGGGACCCCCTTTCCGGGACCCATCTCGGCTGAACCCTGGCTTTTCCCAGGGCCTCTGTTTCACACTTTTCCCTCCCCGAAGGGACTATTTCCGCATCCTTCTCACTACAGACGCCAGAGTGGGTGTTGGCTCCCCTGTGCCTCATTTCAATCCTTTGTTCTTCCTCTCTACCAAAGCTCACCCGAAGCCTGTGGGGACCCCTCTGCTCCTGTGAGCCGTCACTGGTCCCTCTCCTTCGGGAGCCCCTTGTGCATGGAAAGCTTGCAGTCTGGTGTGGCTTCCTCTCCCCTCAACACGCAGCTGGCCCCGCTGTGGCAGCCTCAGGTTTCTTCCCAACCATCAGCCCCTCCGCTTCCCCTGCAAACACCGGACCTGGCCTCCTGCTCTGTGACCACGATCTCCTCGCCTCGAACGCCCGCTTGTCCTAACTCCGGCCCTGCTCTCTGACTTCTGACACCCCAGCTGCACCCTCAGCCCTCTCCTCGCCCCTCTCCTCCCAGTCTTGGCCTTCAGCTCTTCTGGCTTGAGAAAAGCTCAGTCCCAGGTCCCTCGCTCCTGACATTTATCCCACCCAGGGCCTGGAAGATGGGACCGCAGTCTCCACTTTACCGTCTCGGGCCCCCGTCCAGTGGGGCCCCTGCGCTACCCAGTAATTCTTGTTCTCATCTTGGATCAGCTGTTCCTCCCACGTCTCCCAGGAATAAGTGGCCCCACAAAGCCTCGCCATGACTCTAAATCCTCTACTTGGTCTCCTTCCTCTCACCAGAAGGCGGTGCCTCTAATTTTACCGAGAAAATGTCAGACTATCTTGAATTCTCCTCAACTTCCCACCCTCCAATCTGCAGACATAGGAAACATGATGTTAACATGATGCTTGGGTGGGAACACTGCAGTCTGATAGACGCAAGACAGGAAGTATACTGGGGACCCCTGAAAAGTTACTGGAAACCTCTGCGATAGGCTCCAGTCCCCTGCCCAGTGTACAACGCAGGCCTGAGGGAGAAAAATCTAAAAGACAGAACTGAGACAGAAACAGGGCACCAGGACAACCAATGCTGGTGCAACCCACAAAGGCGCTGTTCTGTCCAAGCCACTGATTTTCATTAGTAATCAACTGGGGTAAGGGCAAGCTACGTGCCAGGGCAGAACTATGTGTGAGGAAGTGCGGTTGTGTGGCTACTATGGAAACGAATGTAAGCAAGGCTCATAAAAGACAAGACAAAGCATTCTCCAATCAGGACCAGAATAGACAAAATATATGGTTGCAATTAGAACACCGTCCTTCTAGTTAAGAAGATTTTAATGGTGGGAATGGAATTTGGGTGCGAGTTACTCTGACCTCAGCATGCAGACTTTGGCCAGACTCACTTCCATAAACAAGCCACTTACGGGGTTAACTCTTCACAGCCTTCACCTGCTTACAGCCTGCTTTGGGGCATAATCAATATTGCGGTCTCCCTCCCGCAGAAGTGGGTGGAGGAACAGACCATCCTGGGATCATGCTAATTTCCAAAGGCTCGTGACGGAGAAGCTCTTAGGTGAGATTAAAATCCACAGCATGGTTATAAAGGAGGTTGAAAAGGAAGATTCAAACGGATTTCTTTGGAGAAGGCGAAATTGGACTGTTGGTCCAACTATCTTAGCCTCCTCTAATAGGGGAGCAGGGGGAGTCTCACCTCTAGTCCAGATGGCTTTGAGGACCATGGACATATGAGCCCCCCAGTTTAGTGGATGCAGGGGTCTGGTACCTGATGCTGACCTATGGGATCCAAGGCAGAGGCGATGGGGAGAGAAGACACTTTCTGCTGGGGACCCCGAAGGCAGGAGTGCACCTTGGGAAGGCGGTGGGGTTCAGCAGCGGGACGGCTGGCTTGGAGCAGGTGAACCCAGTGAAAAGTTAGGAATCAAGGAGGAAGAGGAGGAGAGTGCAGGACTCTTGTCATGCAGGGTTCAGTATCACGCCCCTGGTGGAGACTTCTTACAGACCCAAAGGGGTGACACACAGAAGAAAGAGCTTGCCACCCCCTGCCAGGCCGACAGCACAAAAGTGTCCATGACAGTACCAGTCAGGCCAGCAGCGCCCCGCTGTCCTGACCACTTCTCCTGCAGACAGCTCTAACACCAGAATTACGACCTCGGCAGGAGGGCAGGTGTGTGAGGCTGACTATGAGGGTCACCTGCAGCTGGCCCAGTGGGGAAAAGAGAGGGGCACTTTGCCTCTGAATAAACACAGGACCTTGGTTATCACCCAAGGCTGGACATTTGAAATTGGGGAATTGACACTGTGTTTCCAACCGGAGCTGACCACCGAGGTGAAGATTTCTAGCTACCCGTTTCCAGCTTAGACTTCTGCTCCCAAGTTTTGTTCTTCGGTAGCCCCCAGCCTGCAGGTCCTCTGCAGCTGTCTGTAGTTGATCCCAAGGCTCCTCGAGCTCAGCTCCTCAAACCCACCAGGCAGCCCTCTCCCTAGGCGGAGGAGGAGGAGGCTCCCCTCTCTCCCAGCTCCTCCTGCTGCTCCTTAACCCTCCTCAGCACGCCCAGTGGTGCCTCAGTTCTCCCACTGTGAGAACTGAACTCCAGTACCGTAATTCAGTTCCCTGTCGCTTTTCTCTATTTGAAGCACTAAGAAAACTTGTCTCAAACGGCTCCTTTGGGTTCCACTTTGGCTTTGCTTGGCCTCAGATCGTTTACAAATTCAGGCAACTTCTACGCCTTTCTCGTTGGCAGGCAAGGTTTAGAAGGGCTGTCCACCCAGGGGCCCCAGAGGGGACTGGCTGCCACGTGGTTAACCCGACCACCTGGACTAAGCGTGTGCTGTAAGGAAGATTAGTACTTTCCAGGGAACAGCTGGACCCAAGCATTTATAACTGTGGACCTCCTACCGGCGGCAGGCAGAAATGCTGCTCAAATTCAAACCCCCAGACCCGACTGCTGTCCTCTTGGAAGCCTCGACCTCTCCACACCCCCTCTCCAGACAGACTCGCTCAGGGCTTGGCTCACACCGTGCTGTTCCTTCAGCCTGGAACCCTCCTCTCGTGGGAAGCCTGGCCCATATGCTGGACTTGAACACATGGTGCTGTACTATGGCCCCAGGTCTCCAGGTGGAGGCTGCATTTAGTTGTCGCATCATAGCTGTCTTCCGAAGTATCTGGGTCCCCTGCTAGTCTGTGAATTCAAGAAGTAAGAACTGTGACCTAGACAGCTCCGAATGTGTGAGACCCTAACACAGGGCCTGGTAAAGTGAGGCCTCGCATGACACTGGTTGAATGCACGAGTGGACGGACGGAGTGAATGGACGGTACCTTCCTGTCCTCCAAATCGATTTTGTTGCCCAGCACCACCATGGGGTAGGACTGCTCCACGGGGATGATCTTGGCTAGGACGTCGTCCCGCCAGACAGCCAGGGCCTCGAAGGATTCCAGGTCGGTGACATCAAAAGCCAGGATGCAGCCGTCAGAGCCTTTGTAGAAGGTGGACACCATGGAGCGGAACCGCTCCTGACCGCCTGTGTCCCAGATCTGGAGGGAAGAGCAGCCGCCCCGTGGGGCCGAGATGCGGGCTGGAGGACGCTGTCAGGTTAGAGCAGGCCAAAGCTTCCCTTGGGGTGGGGAGCAGGAAGCCGGGGTGCAGGTGTGGGCCTGACCCTCCCACCCAGGTGCACCCCGGATCTGCAGTGTTGTTTCACATCCCGTGAGCACTTTCACACCTGAGCTTTCGGTTTGCTTTTGGCTCATGGGCAGGGGTTGCTATTCTCATCTGACAGATTTGGAAACTTGGATTCTGAGAGTAACTTGGCCAAGGCTACCACCCAGTTTTCTGGAGGACTTGGTGTCTCTCAGCTTCACAATGAGTCAGATGCCAGGTATTTCTAGGCCAGATATCAGCCTTTTTTTTTTTCCTGCAAAGAGCCAGACAGTGAATGTCATGGGCTCTGCAGGCCGTACTGTCCCTGTTCCATCCACTTCCTTTGTCACTGCAGTGCAGAAGACCACAGGTAAACAGATGGGCATGGCTGTGCCCCACTGAAGAGGCGTCTTCTGGTCTCTGCTTGGACCACGCCAGCTCCTGCTGGGTTTTGCCATGTAAGAGGCCATGCAGGGAATGTGGGTGGTTTTCAGGTGCATACAGGGCAAGGGAAAGAGAAGACGGCTCACCTGTAGCTTCAAAGTGGTGTCATCCAGGAGGATGACCTTGGAGAGGATGCTGGCCCCCAGGGTGGTCTGGTATTCCTCGTAAAACGTCTTGTGCACATATTGGTGGAGGAGCGAGGTCTTTCCCACCCTGAGGCAAAACCCAAGGCACTCGTGAACACACATCTACAAACACACATGCGTGTACATCCATGCTGTTCCCAGAGTCTCACCAGGGCCCTAACACGATTGTCGTTTCCTGAGATTCTGAACTCCCGTGTTATCTGTGGCCCAGGGACCATACTTAGAGAGACTGAGAACTAAGGAATAGTTTCTAGAGGCAGAAGCCAGCAAAGTGTGTGGGTTTGGCGACAGCTGGAATCCCCACAGCAAGTTTCTCCCGGGTGTGGCAGGCAGGGGAAAGGTGCAGACTTGCAGCCAGCTCACGGGACTCACGCAGCTCCTTACTGCCGAGCTGGGGCCACAGCCACCCGTCACTGCTGCCTCTCGTTCTCACCTGAGCTCCCTTCCTGGAGATGGGTGGATTCTGCTGCCACCCAGACTTAGAAAGGGACCCAGGGAGGTGGTCTCCCCTCCCAAGTCGGGCAGGAGCCATTTCCTGACCCCCAGCTTGGCTTACCCGAGGGCTCCAACGATGATGAGCTTCAGGTCCACCTTCTTCCGAGGATTCATGAAGGGGCTCAGAGCCTGGGGGAAAACAGGGGTCTCTGCTGCTGGCCATTGTCACCAGGGCGGCTCCTTCTCAACGAGCAGATCTCCAAGGAGGAGCAGGACCCAGCAGCTCTTATCCTCCCTACCCTCCCCTGCCTGGGCCGGTGACGCCCCAGAGCCGCTATCACTCACCCGCACCCGTACCCTCCGCCAGCGCTGCTCAGGACGCAGCCGACAGTGCCAAGTGCGCTGGACGAGGCTGGGCAGAGGCCTCGCAGACAGTCAAGCCTGGAGCCAGGGGTGGCGGGCGGTGTGGGAAGGGAGATGGGGCAGCACAAGGGCCCATTGTCAGCACAGCCCAGAGCTGGGATGGGCAGGCGTCCCCAGCCCGGGGTGGGGGCAGCACTTGTGGAGTGAAAAGGCTCCTCTCTCTGCTCTGCAGCTGGCAGGGCTGAAACCCGTACATGTTGCTGGAAAGCTACTTGGCAGCAAGTTCTGAGAGCCTTAAAAATGTCCCTGACCTCCACTTCTAGGAATCGGTCTAATGAAATAACCAGAAATGCTGACTCTTGCTCTAAAATGTTCTTCTCAGTATTGTTTGTAAATATTCAACAATAAAGAACAGGTTAAATCATGCTGCACAGGAACGATTAAGCCGTCATCAAAGTGGAGTCCTTGAGTGTTTCACAATAACATGGGTTCCCGGGGCTCCTGCACTGGGATATAAAGGAAAAACAGAAGATGCTAAACTGTGTATATAATGTCGCCCCAAATATTTCAGTAGAAGCTGATATTGAATTGAATTTGTTCTGCCTTCTTCCTTTTTCTTTTTGATGTCAGGGATGGAATCCAGGACCTTGTGAATGCTGGGCAAACGCTGACCACTGACCCCCTCTCCCTCCCCTGCCGCCTTCAACGTGTTCTTTTGAAATATGCGGCATGCGCCTGAAATCGCTAAATCTAACCAGTGCACATGTGCAGGACCTCACGTCCTTACCATTTTCCAGGGATAAGAACAGTTCACAAAGCCCTGTGCCAACAATGACCCAGCCCAGAACGAGGGAAACAGAAGCCCACAGTGGGGAGTCACCAGGAGGAGCGCACAGGGGCTGACGACACCAGAGAAAGCGTATGGAGCCCGGGGTCACAGCAAAAGGCAGAATTCAACAGAACCGTGCTCTGAGCCAGGAGGTGATGCTTCCTGGGCGGGAAGGAAAGAAGCAGAGCCTGGGAACGGAGAGCGGTGACTGGGTCCCACCGCAGGGAAGGGGCAAGCAGGAACCTGATTCATTCGCCCCTCAGCCACCCTTCAGACGCGGAGGAAGGAATTCAAGGTGTTAACCCGGGCTGGCATTTCAGAAAGGTGCCATTGCTCCAGAAGGGACCCTTGGCTCAGACACTCCTACAAAGATCCCACTTTGGAGGGGCCGGGGAGCAGTGGGGAGCTGTTTCCTGAAGGCTGGAGTAAGTGTGCTAACTTAGCTTGAGAGACAACAGTATCTCAGAAAGGGAGTCAGAACTAAAGAGAGGCAAGAAGTGCGGGAACTAGCACTGGCTGAGCACCGCAGAGGGTCCTCTGAGTCCTCTCTGAGCACAGGTGACCCTTCCCCTGCGAGAGGAGAACTCACAAGGCATCCAGCAGCAGGAGACAGGTGAGCTGGTATCGGGCGGGAGGCCGGAGACTCCTGTGTCCTGTGCTTCCTGACACCCTGAGCTTGTACCCAAGGAACCTGGGGCACTGGGCTCAGGTTTGGTGAAATTCAAAAAGCCCTAGGAGAGCTGGAGGAGCTGAAGAAAGCCAGCCAAAGCGACCACATACAGAGGGCACAGACAGAACTGTGTCGCGGGACCGGAACTGTGTGTGAAGAGGGCCACAGGGGTGGCCCGTCACGCTGGGTGCAGGGGCTGTGTTTGCACGCCGTAATATATGGGTGTGCAGAGCTAGAGTGAACCCACGCTGTCCACCAGCATGTTTTCCAGGCCCTGCGCTGAGAGTTTGCAGGTATGCAAATGAGCAATTTGCATGATGTGAGTTAAATGAATCCGTGCTTTTGTTATAATACATTTAACACAAAAGGCATTGTTACGATGCATTTACTGGCATGAATTAAGTGCTCAAGAAATCTTAGCTACTTCATCAGGCACAAAAATAGCCTATGAGATTGAGGGTATTGTTCCCTCTTTTTATCACCACCCCCCAAAAAAGAGAGAGAAATGTTTATAGAAGGGAAACAGTTCCTTGCTAAAGGAACATAAAGCCTGCAGTGATAGAGCATAGATTGGAGCTGGAATCTGAAAGCAGGCCTAGCTCTAGTGACTAGGCTTTTTCTTTTCTTTCTTTTTTACCAGGGATCGAACTTGGGACCTTGTGCTTGGGAGGCAGGTGGCGGAACCACTGAGCTAAACCCCAGCCCCTTTTTTACTTCCTTGAGAGGAGCTGTACCTTGCTGCCCAGGCTGAACTTGAACTTGCTTCCCTCCCTCCACAGCCTCCTGAGTAGCTGGGGTTCAGGGATGCACCGCTGTGCCCCGCAGCTGACTGTGGTCTTAACTGGGCTCTCCTGTCTGCCTGCACAGCTATGGTGAGTTCACACCCTTGCTCCCTGGGACCTATGAGAACTGCTGTTTGTTGGACCTAAACGCCCACCTCATGAGACTTTCTGTGTACAGCCTATTGCATGCATATACTCTGGAAAGCTAGGCAGTTTTGAAAGGACAAAGGGATAAAAATGGAAAAATACACAATAATTTAATTTAAAAAAGAAAATTATGGAACAATTTGTACAGAGTGATCCCAATCATGCAAAAACAAACAACCCAACGTGTGTGACAATGTGTTTCACGTGACACATAGGCTTGTCCTGTGAATGCACACAAAATTACGGGTAGATACACAGATAGGACTAATGAGAGAGTTGTGGAAAGGCAGATTAGGGGCTGAGAGTTATCTTTTTATTTTATGTATGTCTGGCTTTAAAATTTGTTCCACAAGCCTAAGTTATTTCTGTAATTAAAAATCCCTGATAAAGACTTGACCCTTCCCTCTTTCACGAGAGTGTGAATGTGCACAGGCCGGAGTCATCTGAGTGTGACTTCCTGGTGTGATGAGTCACTGGGTGGCGGGGACAGTGGGAGGTAGGTTCCCCTGAGTGGTCGTGAGCTCTGGCTCAGGGCGCTGCGCCAGCCGTGACGTTAGGTGAGCTACTTGTCAAGACTGCTCCAAACAGGGGAAGAGGACGTCAGCCACACCACCCACGTCACCCATGGTGGTGGCTTCCTCTACAAGTGGTGTACTTTATGGCCAGACAGGCTCCCCGGATGCGAAAGATGTGCTGAAACGTTTAACAGGGAGGCCAGGAGGGGCTTGGTGGCCAGAGGCCGGATTCGCAGTGCTTACCATTTTCTGTGCTACAGGCTCCCACGATGGCTGATTGCACCCCCCATGCCACTGTGTGGAGCCGGTGCACCCCTGGGGGGCCCTCAAGCGCCCCTCCCTCTCATCTCCCACCCTGCGCTTGAGCCATCAGCTCCCCAGAACGGGGCGTACCTGCCCCAGGGTAGTCTTCCTTTCTTGGGGGCCACACAAGAATCGCTCAGTTCCTGGGTCACACACCAGCCTCTTGGGTTTCACTTGATTCTTTTCTTCTGACCATTGCCTCAAGGGGCAGCTCCCCCACTCCTCTCTGCCTTCCCCTGAACGTTGCTGCCCCAAGGGCAGGTGCGGCAACCAGAGAGTAGCGGACTGGGGACTGGCTCCGTGCAGCAATGGCTCCGGGGACTTGCAGACTTCAGCTAGTGGCTGAGGTCTCTTTCCCTGTCCTCTCTGCTCTGCTGTGCTCTGGGCTGTGCCCACGGCTGTCCTTTTAAGCCTCTTCCTGCCCAGTCAGCTGACTCAGATGTGTCAAAGCAGGGATCCTCTTCGAGGCCGGGCAGACTCATCTCCACGGTCAAGGACAGTGACAAGCAGGCTTGGGACGCATGACCTGCCATCCGACACCCAGGCCCACTTGGAGCAGAACTCCGTCCCCCCCACCCCGGGTGTGACCAGCACCTCTCCCTTTCTGGCCTGGCAGCCATCCCTACCCTGAGCCCAGGCTTGGCCCGCTGGCGGTGAAGCAGCCCCTGGGGAGCAGAAAGCCTGAGAGGTTGACGAGTACTCGGACCAGTGTCTAGCTCTCCAAGAACTCTTGGAGCTGCTCTGCCCCGCCTTCCCGCTTCCCTTCTTCCCCACCCCACCAGCCCCAGGCACAGCCTCCTGCCTTGTTGGTGTCGGGTGGGATGAGGGTCTACTGGTAGGGAGACCGGAGCAGGGCCAGGGGAGAGCGCTGAGGCGGGTCCTCCCTGGCTTCTTGCCTGATCTTTAGCACCTCCCTCCCCGCGCCGAGCCATACTTTAGAAAATAGCAAATGTATCCACCCTCAAACAAGGAGGGGGCCCTGCCATCAGGAAGTCAGGTTTGTTGGTGGAAGAGACTATCAGGCAAATACAAGGCTCTGTTGCCTGCCAGGAACATTTGCAATTTTGCCTCCCCCACCCAAACCCCAGCAGGTCCAGACCTGCTCCCTTGGGCGGGCAGGGCACTCACAGCCTTGGTTTTAGGAGGTGCAGCCTCCTTGTTCTTTAAATTCTTTGCACTGTTTAGTCCTGCCTCCCCAAGCACACTGTGCCTGAGACAGTGCCTCACACTCTATTTCCACAGGGAGCCTGATGCGCGCTGAGAAGGTAGAGCCGTCCATAAATAGTCATCCACCCACCCTGCCATGCACAGATCAGTTACTGTCACCTGATGGAGAACTGATCAGTACGCCCAAAGGAGCTGTATTTTTATCCCCACACAATGCATCGAGATTATAGAGCTTGGACTTTACAAAATGCCATTATGGGCCTGGGCTTTCCTGACTGAAGAATTAGTAAGTGGCAGACTGAGGCTGGAACCCTGGGCTAGCTCTGCGCTTTAGCTCACCCGGCACTGGAGCTCTTTGCCAGGAGAAATATTTACGACTTAGAACAAGCATCATCTCCGACTTGGAGGCTCCCTTTACTGGATGAGGCCCTGTGGTCCACAGAGTCCGTCCCTGAAGGTGCCCTGTCCACGTGGCATGGGGACGCCACGTGCCAGCCTCCCAGAGGGCTCCAGCTGTCAGGCCCTGCAGGCCTGAGGCGGCAGCATGAGTGTCTGCAGCTGCATCCTGCCTGGCACGGCAGGCCCTGTGGATTCCGGAGCAGGGGCCCAGCTCCCCAGGCAGGCAAAAAGTCCTTTCCTGGCACCGTGACCTGGACTTTCTCCAGGGTGGGGTCTGTGGGCTGGATCCAAGCCAGCAGCTGCCAGACCCTAAGCCTCTTCCCTGCATCCGGCCTCCATCCCAATCCCCCAGGGAAACAGAGAGCTCTGAGGGCTGCTGGACAGACAGAAGGATGTGGACCAACGTCCAGGGCACTTACAGCTCTCGGCCTCCCAGGCTGGTCCTCTCTGGGTCTGGAGGTCTCTTCCTGGAGCAGCGCTGCCAGCCAGGTCAGAGGAGAAAGGCTTCGGGAGCTTGTAAGAGTCTGTGGGCCTTGCCACTTCCCTCTGAGTTTTCCTCCTCTGCTCCGTGAACAGACTTGGGAAAGTTGCACAAGAGGCTGGGCCAGGGTGACCTCAGCTGCGTGGGTGGAGGGATGGGGTGGGGCGGGAAAGCCGGGCTTCAGAACTGACTGGATTTGGGACTCCTGAGAATTTGGTCTGTGGGGACCCTGGCCAGGGGGATGAAAAATGAGAGGCTTGGGGTGGGGCTGGGGGGGTTGGGGGGCTGCAAGGTAGCAGAGCTCCATGGAGCTTTGAGGAAACTGCTGCCTCTGTGACTGGAAGCTGCCCAGGAAAGGTGCCCTTTGTTTGTTTGATGTTTTCAATACACGTGCAGTGTATTTGGTCCAGCCACCGGCCCAGGGGATAGGTTCCCGTCCTCAGCCCGGTGCTTCACGCACACACACACACACACACCCAACACACAAACATACTGTCCACACCACAAGCCCCACACACCGCACATAAATCCTCACACAACACACACCACATACACCTCACACCCACCATAGCACACACACACACGGACACACACACCACATCACACCACACTGTGTGTGAGATGTGAAGCAAATCTTCACAGCTTCCTGGGCCCCTCAGGTGACTGCCTACGACCCTGCAGCCATAACCTTATGAATCTCTGGGAGCTGCCTGGAACCAGGCCTTGGGTAATGACTAGCTTGGCAGATGAGAGAGGGACCCAGTGTGTCCAGACACGCCCGAGTCCTAAGGCCACCAGGTCTTCAGGAGGGGCCCTCTGGCGCACTCCTCCGCCCTCAGTCCTCCTGAGACGGCGTTCTGTCTCCTTGCCGGCCCATCCCTTTGTTTAGCTGTCCTCCCTTCCTGGTGCCCGGTGGTCTGTGACTGTGTGTAATCTGGCCACCGACTGTACATCCCCGCAGGGCAAGGGGCAGTCTTGGACCCCTCCCCGGCCACTCTAGCCAGTACCGGCCGGGCAAAGGAGGTCCTGGTGTAACCCAAGTTGAAGGTCATTTCCTCATATCAGCTGGTAAGCATGCCTGGAGGGGAGCATGGTGACTGCCAGAAGGTCTAGTATTGGATAGGACACAGGGACGCTGGAAAAATTTCCAGAGGGTGTTCATCCCAAATTTTCTACTTTGATTTTTTGAGAAGGGTGCCTCAAGGCAATCACTGATTTGTAACAGCTGATTTGTTCTTAAATCATCTGCACTTAGATGCCCTCCCCATATGCTATATCTTTCTGAGACCAGTTTTAAATCAACATACACGTGTTTGTCAGGTGCGGGGAGGTAAAAAGCTATAACTGTCCTGGGACTGCCACTGGCTGGGGACTTCGGGATACAGGAAGTGAACCACTGGCCTTTACTGTTTCTGAAACTTGTTCTTGCAGGGGACATTTGCAGAACTGTCCCCAGTACCTTGGAAGCCAAGTCACCAACCACCATCAGCTCCAGGCCCCACTTCCTCCATCCACACAGATCAAAAGTCAGCAACTTCCCTTTCCTCTCTCTGACACAAGTTGCAGCCAACCTCTACCCTGCAGAGGAGGCCTGAGGTCCCTGCCACAGATACCCAAGTTTTAACAGTAGGGCCGAGACATGGTGCAAGTAAAGGGGCCTGAGGGAATAGAGGTGGAATGAGCCATCTTCTCAAGAGGAAGAGGGGATTTGACTTGGAGTTCCAAGGAGGCCTGGGGCACGAGCATGCTCAGCTGTGCTGTATGTGGCGCGCCCACAGGAGGCAGCAGTTTCCAGCTAAGGGAAGCGATCGAGGTTGGGGAGAGGAGGTGCATCTCATGGCCAGAGATTTTCATCTAGTTCTTCTGAGTACCACTATGTAACATCTCTTCACCATTACCGGAAGGCTGGAAGAGCCAGTCTGGGGACAGTCTGCGGGGCAGGGCAGAGGGACTCCTGGGAGCACAGTGTGCAAGTGAGAAGATGGGGATTCAGTTCGGTTGGAGTGGGCTGGATGGGAATGGAGGCCCAGCTCTGGAGTACCCTGAAAGCCCTGTCAACTGGGCGTCATTTGGTGAGCAGCAGGGAGCCCCTGGGAAGTGCAGACTGGGATTGGAGCCAGAACCCCGGAATATTAATCAGTCCAGCACTGGTGTGGGGGGAAGGAGGCGAGACCAGGATCAGAGCATCTGTTTGATGTTCTTGAAATTCCCATGGTGAAAAGCAACCCCTGGCTGTAGAAGCATCTGTGTAACAGGGCTGTTGTGAAGACAGAGTCACCAACCGGTTCCACCATCCGGCAGATCCGGTGTGACTCTCGCATTGCTTTTGTCTTCCAGGCCCGCTGAGCACCTGCAGCTCCAGGCGGCCCCTGTGCAGAAGGTACCCAGAGAGGATGAGAGAGGAGCACAGTGTGTCCAGACATGCCCGAGTCCTACAGACCACCAGGTAGCTCCCCTTGGCTCTCGGGGGTTTTGCTTTAGAGGGAAAGTTACACGTCCTTTTTACTCAAGGGCCTTTCATCTTTGATGAGGTTCACCCTCCCGAGTAGAGACCCGTTCCCTGACAGTTCTCCCCCGAATCGTAGTGTGGTTCTCGGTGATGGCCGGTGATCATCACCAACTGTTAGAACTCCAGGTAGGACGTTGGAGGAAAAGTTGTAGTAGATAGCGTAGGTCAACAACTTCAAATCCGTGCAGCAGTGTTGACGCTGCCCATGGAGAGGCACTTGGCATTATCCCCTTAGTGCCGGGACCCAACAGGAAGGACCTTGCATCACCCATGGTGAGTCTGCGCTTCCAACTCAGACCTCTGGGTGTAACTATCACCTCGTGAGAAGGATGGGCTCAAAGACCACGTTAAATGACACCAGCAAAATTCTGACTGTGCCAGCACTAAGAAGAAAAGAGGCCTAAGAGACATTTCAGATAAATGTAGGGGCTGGGGATTTGGCTCAGTGGTTCCGCCCCCTGCCGCACAAGCGCAAGGGCCCAAGTTTGATCCCCGGTGCCAAAAACGAAACAAAATAAAATACATGCAGCTTATGGATAGTGTTTAATCCCCGACTCCAACTAGCCTGCTGTAAAAACCGCTACCCATTTGTGAGACAAGGGGAGACGCTTGGGTTCTGATTATCTAAGGATGTTAGAAAGATTTATGGATAAAAAGATGCATTTCTTGGGATTTGCCTCAAAATAATCCAGGTATGTGCAGTGGGAGAGGGAAGAGGAGAGTGGTGTAGGAAAAGGGGGCTACTCATGCGTGTGGGGGTCAAAAAAGCCGGCTGGGATGCAAAGGAATTTATTGTTCTACAGCCTCTGCCTGTGTGTCTGTGTTCGGAGATTTTCATAGTGAAAAATCAACAAATGCAATAAAAAACTTAATTCTTCCATTATGATGGTGGTGGAGGTGGTGTGTATGTGAAGTGTGTGTGTGTGTGTGTGTGTGTGTGTGTGTGTGTGTGTGTTCTCCTGGTCTGTCTGGTGCTAATAGAAGTTGCAACTCTGGGAATATCTGCATTCTACGGAAAGTGACTTTTTAACCAGTGTAAAGGATTTCCAATTCAAGAGGCCCAAGAAGGGTCAGGTGGCTGGGAGTGCACCCGAAACCCTACTCAGGGGACTGCCGGGGCCAGCCCCACTTGGTTATTCCCACGGTCAAAGACGGCGTAAAACTGTCGTATGAAGACATCCCCCAGGATCCAGAGGGGCCCGGCTGGAGGCTGGATTTCCAGTCCTTGGAATCCAGGGCTGCAGACCTGCATCCCGTCAGCGAAGTCCTGGAGACAGAGAAAGACTTATGCGAGTGGCACGCGGGAAAGGCGGAAGGAGCGCCCCCTAGAGGCTTCCTGGGCGTTGGCGGCCGCCCGCACCGCCTGGCCCCGCCCTGGTGGGCTCTTCCTCCTGCTTTCTGCCTTCTGGCCCTAGTTGCCGCAATAAAGATTTGCCCAAGTTCATCATCTGAGTTCTGCCATCCTGAGAAATGTGCATCTGTTATGCCCCTCCACCCAACCACCCTTTTACAATTGGGGAAACTGAAATGCTATTGCAGGGCCGGATGAGAAAAAGAAGACAATGGCCTAAATTCTGGTTTCTTCAGGGCCAGGAATTTAGCTCAGTGATTCCACCACCTGCCTTGAGTTCAATCCCTGGTACCAAAAAATTAAATTATTAAATTAAATTAAATTAAAAACTAAAAATAAATAAATAAAATTCTGGTTTCTTTAGATCCTAGCAAAGTTCAGATCACTTTTTTTCCCCCCTGATTCTGGGTATCGAACCTAGGGCCTTCACACTCAGCTACATCTTCAGCCCTTTTCAGTTTTCATTTTGAGACGGGGTTTCACTAAGTCACTATATTGCCCAGCCTAGGCTTGTACTTGTGATCCTCCTGCCTCAGCCTCCCAGAATGCTAGGATTACAGATGTGTGCCACCATGTCCAGCTTCAGGCTATGTTTTTTGAAGGTAGAGAAGTTGCTTTGTAAATGGCTAGTCACTGCTATATTTTCTTGATATTTTGGGAAGAATCATGTAATTTAGATACAAGGCAAGTTGGTTTCCATTGTTTTATGAATATCACCTCCCCTGGCCTTGTTTTTTTAGTTTGGCAAAGACTTGGGATCTACAAGGCATGTGTGAGGTCTTTCCAGCGATCATTTGAAATTTGAGGTTGCTGATTGGGCTGGGGGTGGGAAATTATAGAAGGATCAAGGGGCCTTCGCCAAAGGAAGATATTACAAATTCAGAGTCTACAGTGCCCTTTGGGGATGGAGTTCCTGTGATGCCAGAGCTCAGGGGGTCGCCATGAAGCTGTATTTTTTATTTATTTAAAAAATTTTTTGGTACTGGGGATCAACCTTGTGCTTGTAACAGAACCACTGAGCTAAATCTCCAGCCCTAAAGCTGTATTTTAAAGCAAACATTTGCATCTGCTTGGACTGTCCATCCATAGTAGGGGCTTTGGGAAGGAATTAAAGAAAATCAAGACAGACGGATGAGCCTAAAGCCTTTGTTCTAAACCTCAACCCTCTGTTCTGCCACGCACACCCTGATGTGGGGCTGACGCTTGGGAAAAATCAGTGTTAAATGAGTTGCCAAAGGACTGTGACCCTAAAAATCTAGGCCAATGGTAGTATGAAGTGATCATAAGTTTCCAAAATGCCCAGGAATTCCCCTTCTCCCTCATCCTCTAAACTTGAGCATTTGCTGCTCCAGGAGGCATTTTCTTGCTCGAGGAGGGGTGTGATTGGCATGCTCAGGAATAGTAACCTGATCCCGGCCCTGCCCATGCAGCTCAGATTGCTGCCTCTCTGCATCCTCCTGAAGAACACGGGGTCTGAAGACAGACTCTCCAGCTGGACTTGGTGCTTAAGGGTATTAGAACTGTCCACTCTGGCGTCCCACACAATGCTACAAAGGCCTCCTTATACCACTTGTCCAGAGTCGCTGCAACTTCAGGGCGGAACCAGAAGGTAGAGTCAGCCTGGTGGCCTTTCCAACGTGGGCAGCTGTGTCCCTCTCAGAGGGGCATCACACCCACCTGAGCAGGACGAGTGGGAGAGGGCGGGAGCGAGTGCAGCTCTGAGTGCAGGCGACTGTCTGAAAAGGGTTAAGTGGAGGCGCATGGGGAAGGCTCCAGGACACCCACATAAGGAAACAGCTTACCATCAGGGTATAGGCAGTCGGGCTGAGCGTGTAGGGAACCCCGTTGATGATGAAGGTGACATCCAGCATCGTGTTGAGGTTGGCACACTCCACAGCGTACTAAAGCAGAACACGGGGCCCACTCAGGCTCCCAAGCCAGGCGGGCTCTCCCGCTCCTGTCCCCTCCCCAGCCTGGGCAGGCACTCACTTCTTCATCCACATTTGTGGCCCCAAGGGCCTCTTGCAGCTGCTTGATCTTTTTGGGGGGGCCGGTGATGAGGGACGTCCCTGTGTCCACGATGGCCTGGCAGCCCTCAGAGCAGAACATCAGGCTGTCCCCAACTTGGATTCTGAGAGCAAAGGGATTGCAGTCAAGCCCTTCCTTCAGGTTCCTGGCAATTCTGCCCCGGCCAGGCTCCAGAGGACTTGGGGCATGTCAGCAACGTCCATGGACATCTCTCCCACCACCAAAATACTTCTCTAGTGTTTTTTGAGGTGTTACAAAAATATACTGGTATCTTGAAATAGTTCTCTCTCTCTCTCTCTCTCTCTCTGAAATGAATGCACTCTGATATTTCCTACCATATTCCTTTCATTAAAAAAAATGAAGGTCAATATCCCCTACAATGATGCTGTGGTCTATACCGGAGTAAATCCCTGCCCTTTGAAAAGTCCTCCTGAGACAGTGAGTTCGAGACTTTTCACTTTTAACTTAAATGCGTGGTGCGGTGCAGGAACTGAAACTTGAATTACACGCCTTCGAATTCCTCACGGTCTAGCCCAGTGCTTAGGTCTGAAATGAGCACGGGGGGGGGGCACTTCCTCGATCGCTCCATCCCGAAGCTCAGTTTTAAGGCCTTCTGCTTCCATGAAACCCTTTAGGGTTGGATAGAAGCTGTCTTGTCCTTTGGCCTCTCCTCTGTCGGGGCCCTGACCACTCCCACCTTGCGCGGTAGCAATTTGTGTGCGAGCCTCGTCTTCCATACGAGCCTCAGAGGGCAAAACCCGAGTCCTGCCCACCTCCACGATACCGGTGTTCGCCGTCTGAGGTAGAGGCACAGCTCAGGTACAGGGTCCCTGGTCACTGGTGCCCTTTCTGCGTCTTTACTGGCGCCTCCACCTCCCACCCACGAATAAGGGCCCAGCATCCACCCCTAGGGACAGCAGTGTCACCCACCGAATCCAGTTTGAGTTGAACCTCTGGTGCGTTCTCCCATCAAATTACAACCGCCTCCCGCAGGATACTCACCCGTCCAAGGCAATCTGCCAGTAGGCTTGCTTGGTGACCGGGACCCAGTTCAGGCTTCCCGAGAAGTGGGCGGGATCATAGCCTCCGAAAGTCAGCTCGCTGCCCGAGCTCCCGGGGTTACTGCGAGGAAAGGCAGACTGAAGGAGCTGCCACACAAAGCGCCCCAGAGACCCCTCTCCCAGAGCATCTGCCCACAGTAGCTGGCGTGGTGTCTGGAGTTTCCGTCTTAGTCACTCCTTTGTGTCAAGACAAAGAAGCAACTGGACTCACTAGTGCTTGAATAGCGGCTGGGTTTTATTCGTATTGCAGTTTTATGTTCTGGCACCTAGCGCTATTCTGGGAAATAAGACTATAACAAATTCATTTCCACAAAGAAAGGGGTCAGAAAAATACAAAATTTAGGGCAGTGCCAGGCCAAATGGTAATGGAGGAGGGGACTGAGCATCTGTAGGAGTTTCCGGCTTCACAGAGGGGAAGGGGACACAGGGATTCTTCCTGTGTCACCTGTGTGACTCTCACCTCAACCTACCAAGGCTCAGGGAGACGAAGCTGCGAGTCATGGGCTGAAGTCGGGGCTCAGAGGATTGCGAATCCCTTGCTACTGATTGCTACTCATCACGCCTTGAGCTTCCCGGTAGGCTGGGAGGGGGCAGAAGTCTCAGCTGCAGCCGTGAGGGAGACACAGCGCAGCACAGCTAGAGAGAGGGAACTCAGGATGCTCCTGTGGGTGGGGACAGGGGAATTCCAGCCAGGCCTGCCTGGGAAAGACTCTGGTCCAGGGTAGGGAGGAAGATGAGATGACGACCTGCCTGGGATCCCAGGTCAGAGCACCTAGAAGCAGGGAGGTGGTACCTAGCTCTTTCTCGTGATTTTTTTCAACTATTATGTATAACCATTTTCGTGATTTGTGGCAATATATATATAATATAAAAGTTACTGTCAACTATTTTTGAGTGTCTAGCTCAGAAGTGCTAAGAACATTTTACACTGTTGGAAAACCAATCTCCAGAACCTTTGCATTTTGGAGAACTGAGACCCTATACACCCGTTAAACAAGAACTCTTCTCCCTCCTCTACTAGTCCTTTGCAACCACCATTGTACTTTCTGCTTTTGTGAATGTGATCACTTGAGGTATCATGTAAAAGCAGAATCATACAGCATCTTTCTTTCTATAACTGGGTTATTTTGTTTAGCGCAATGCCCTCAAATTTAATCCATGTTCTAGCATGTATCATAATTACTTTCCTTTTCAAGACCGAATAATATTCCATTGTATAGATAGACCACAGTTTGTTTATCCATTCATTAGTGTGCAGTTATTTTCTTGTCAGGTTGCTTTATAATCTTTCCTGCCTCCCCCAACTGTGTGAACTATTCTTTTTTTTTCTTGGCGTCCCAGCATTTAGCATCATGCTCGGCAGATAATAAAAGCTTGATATTAATTGTCTGAATTAGTAGCCAATTCCAGAGATCAAGAAATTCAACCCATTGCTCTAAAGTTTACAAAATGTTCATCACAACTATTTTATGAGGCAAATGCCATGCCCTCAAAATCCAGAGAGGTTGAGTGCCCAGCATCCCTCAGCTGGTAGCAGGCCAAGCCAGAACTTTGATGGCTAAGCTTCCTGGCCTATACTTTCTCCCTGGAGTCTTCACCAACCTAACCTGGTGGGCCGTCCAGGACTTACCTGCTCATGTAGACAGAAAACATAGGCAGGGCCACCAGGTTCTGGGCCATCATGTTGTCAAACACAGGGGTCACCCCGCCAGCAGCCAAGGAGGGGTAGCCCAGGCCCAGAATTCCATCAAACTCCGCATGTACAAAGGTCTGGCCCGGCTCTTTGACACTTTCTCCAAACTGCTGGCCAGCCACGGTGAGTCCTTCCACCTGTGGGAAAAGGTCCACAGGAGAGTTGAACAGGGGGACTGGCAGAGTCTCAGATTCCTGGTTTCTCCCCCTGTCCTGAAGCTAATTCTTCCTTTGTCAAGTTTTCTTGAAATTGGCCCCCAAATTGTCACCGAATTCTAACCCTCTTAATTTCTTTACCTAAATTAAAAGGAACTAAGCACTATACAGAAAGTGTAAGCGTATGGTTCAGGTAACCTAGTGCCAGAAACCAATAGACAAGACATTCTTAACCCCAGAAGCCCCTCCCACACTCTCAGTCAGCATTGATTCCCTCCCCAAGAGAACCACCCTCCCGACTTCTAACAGCATAGGTAGGTTCTGTCTGCCTTTAATTTTATACAAATCGAATCACCCACTATGATGCTGATATCCTGCTTCTGTCACTCAGCACGGTGCTTATTGAGTGCTGCTGTAATCTGTCCGTTCTCACTAGTATTCGATGGTATGAATCTATCACCGTATTTACCTAGTCTACCTTTCACGGCTCTTTGAGTTGTTTCCTGTGATTGATTACTATCACTAACAGTGATACTAATACACGTCACCTGATGAACACGTGTGTGATTTCTGTTGGACACATGCCTAGGAGTAAAACTGATCACAGAGTAAGCACACGTTCTGCTTGAGCGAAATATCACAGAGTTTTTCAAAGCAATGGTGCCCACTGACGTTTCCACTACCAATAATTTGACAGTTCTGATTGCTTCATGTCTTCACTAGCACTGGGTATTACTTAACATTCCCTAATGCTTTAGTTTTTTAATAGATAAGCAGAGGGTCACATTGTGATCTTATTTATATTTCCTGCTGATCAATGATATGGGATATTTGGATATCCTGTTTCAACGTAAGTTATCTGCATTTTCTTGTTGTTACTATTCTGAAACCAAATAGATCTTAATTAACAAAAGATACAGTTTTGTTTTGTTTTGTTTTGTTTTGTTTTGTTTTTGAGACAGGGTCTCACTATGTAATCCAGGCTGGCCTCAAACTCATGGCAATCCTCCTGCTGGGATTATAGTCAAGCACCATCATGCCCGGCAAGATATGAATTTTAATGGGATCAATTTTCCCTTTACTATTGGTGGTTTTTGTAACTTAGAAACTTTTTCCTACCCTGAGATTATGAAAACATTTCTCTCATGTTTTCTTCTAAAAGCTTAATTATTTTACTTTTCACATTTAGATGTTTGATTTACTGAAGTTTGAAAACATGACGTAGAAATAAGGATTCATTTTTAAATATTTAATACCCAAATGACCTAGCACCATTTAATAAATGTACCACTGCTTCTCCCACATACTACATTATCATGTTCACTGTAAGTCAGGTGATTGTTTAGGTGGTTTCTAGATTTTATATTCTGTTGCATTTGGTTATTTTTTATTCCTATGCGATTGTGATCTAAATTACTATAGCTTTATAATAAATTTAATATTTGGTAGTGTTTTTCTTCATCAAGATTATTTTAGTTTATTACATTACATCTGTATATACTTTAGAACCAGCCTGTCAATTGCTAACAAAAATTGTCTTTGTTTTGGTTGGTGGCTTTTGACTGAGGGAGGTAACATTGGATATATAGATTTTTTTTTATTTCTTTATAAAACTGAGTCATTTAATCTACAAACATGGTTTATCTTTCCACTTGTGTGGATCTCTAAATTTTATTCAGTAATGTTTTACAGATTATAAAGTGGAGGTTTTGCATATGTTTTGTTAAATTTACTTCAAACTGCTTGATCTTTTTCATGTCATTAGGGATTAAACCCAAGGCTTTCACATTGAGCCGCATCCTCTACCCTTTTTATTTTTTATTTTGAGAAAGGGTTTCACTAAGTCTCTACATTGCCCAGGCTGGGCATGGATTTGTGATCTTCCTGCTTCAGCCTCCCTGTGTGCTGGAATTACAGGCATGGACCACCACGTTCGGGTTAACTGACATCTCTGATGGTATGATAAATGATGTCATTTAAAAATCTATTTTCTATTTATTTCCTGCTACACAGAAATTCAGATGATTTTATATGTTGACTATAGCAACTCTACTAAATTTACTTACTAAAAATCCCTGTATTGTGTCTGTAGTTTTAAAAACATTTTTCTACAAATAGAATTTTTCATATGTTAATGGAGGTGTTTATATTCTATCCCAATCTTAGTGTCCTTAATTTATTTTTTCTTGCTTTATCACATTGGATAGGATCTTAAGCACAATATTAAGTAAAAATAGTAAGTATGTGCATTCTTGTCTTATCCTTGATCTCAGAGCAATTCACCATAAGTTTAAGGTTTGCTGTGGGCTTTTTGGCAGGTTTTTTAAAAACTTAGATTAAAGGAGTTACTTTTTGGTCCTAGTTTGTTAATAATTCCTTCAAAGTCATGAAGAGATGTTGAATTTTATCAGTGGAAATTATCATATGACTTTTCTGTTTTATTCCTTTAGGTGATAAATTCCTAGGAAGAAAGGACTCTTGTTGAGATATATTACCCTTTTCTATAAGATTTTATTTGCTAGTATGTATTTTGCTTAGAACTTTGGCATCTACAACTTAGGAGAGAGAGAGATTGCTTAATTCCTATAGTGTCCTTTGCAAATTTCATTATGGTTCATCAAAGTATCCTTCACTTATTGATTCTCTGAAGAGTATTATAAAACTGATGTTATTTTTTTTCTAAATGTTTAGAAGAATTCACCAGTAAGGCTACCTGGGTCTGGAGTATTCGTTGCAGAAATATATAAAATAACAGTCAATATTTATAATAGACACTTAATTATTATCTACTTTTTCTTGTGTTAGGTTTTTTCTTTTTTTTTCTTTTTTTTGAGACAGGGTCTCATTATGTAGTTGAGACTGACCTGGAACTTTCTATGTAGTCCAGGCTGGTCTTGAACCCACAGCATCCTCCTGCCTCAGCCTCCCAAGTGCTGGGATTGCAGGCATGCACCACCACGCCCAGCTTGATATCCTCTTATTTTAATGTCTGTAATATCCTCTCCCCCCAACCCCCATTACTGGGGTTCAAACTGAGAACCTTGCACTTGTGAGGCAGAAATGCTATAATATCCTCTTGTTTCATTGCTAATATTGTTAAGTTGTATTTTTTTTCATTTTTCTCAATTAGTCATACTAGAGATTTATCAGATTTATTATTTGTAATGAGTTAATTTTGAACTTTTTTGGTTTTGTTGTAGTATGACTTTTCTAGTTCATTGATGTTCTTTTTTTCCTTGATTACACCTTTCCTTCTATTTGGGGGGGTTTTGTTTGCTGTTTTTTGTTAGTGGTTTTCATATTGTTTATTTGTTGTTTGAATAGATGCTTAAATCATTTATTTTTCTACTGCAGGCCTTTTAGATTTTAATTTTCCCAGTAGGACTGCATTGGGTGCCTCCACAAATTCTGACAAGTGTTATGTACATAAGCTTGGAATTTAGAAAACTGGCTATCTGCAATTGTAATGTCAATTACACGGTGTACTTCAGAATGTAGTTTCCGACCTAGAGCTGCAGCCCGAGGTCTACGGTCCTGGCAGCAGAAGGAGAACACAGATATCAAGTGGGAGAAGGGTGAAATGGAACTGAGGATGCGGATGAGTAGGGACCCCTACTATTCCCCAGCTGCCCACACCTCCGTAGGAGCTGAGGCCGTTGTCACAGAGGGGAATGCACATCTGGCCCAGGAGCTGGAATCACTGAAGGGGAAAGCACCGGAAGCTGGAGTTGCCGAGGGCTTGGCTGCCTCCTCGGACCAACCAGGTTGCTGGCAGGGAAGTGGCACTGTAGGTTAGGGTCCCCTTCCCATGCCAGTTTCAGTCCCTTCCTGCTTTGCAGAGGTTGTTACAGCTACGGCTTGGAATGTAGCCTTTGGAAGAGTTATTTACTTTTATATGTACGTGTACAGTGTATTTTCATTCTACATAAGCGTTGTGCACAAGGCAGTGTTTCCTGTGGGAGACCCCTGAGCCAGCCCTCAAGGGCCAGGGGTGCTGAGCAGACAGGACCCCTGCCATCATCTGGGAAGGCTTCCTGGCTGCTTCCCCCTTCCCTAGAATCTAGCCCCACCTCCTTTTCCTGAGGCAGATCTGACACTGTCACCTAAGACCTCAGACAATGTTCTGTCCCCTAAGCTTCTGGGCAAGGGAGAAAAGATGAGGGGATCACACTCACAGAGACTTGGTCAGCTCCGATGATCCCCGTCAGGCTTCCGGTCCCGTACTGAATGGAGAAAGGATTCCCCACCTCACTGTATGTGTTGGACAGGGAAGGGTGGAACACGGGGTGCGTCTCTGGAAAGCAAAGACACAGCTCACTGCCTTCATCCCCACCCCAGAGATGCAGGGTCTCTTCCCTCGGCTCCCAGGGCCAAGCGGGGACCCGGAGGAAGGCCGGCCCCGGGGCTGTCCAGTGAGCTGCCACATTCCCCCTGGGCCACAGGTGTGGCCTAACTGGAACCAAATAGTTGTTCCTGGGCGAACCTGATTGCCCGCGATGACCTCATGAGGCACACCAAGATAAGCGCCATTTATCAGGCGCCAGAAGCAGTCCCAGGCGTCAGTATGGGTCAGAGCTTACCTTCAAAGAAACTTAGGGGTAAACAATTACCACTCCAGGAAATTACTCACCGCTCTGCCCAACCTTGGGAACACCTAGCTTCAGGACCGCCAGGGACTCTATCTCTGACATTTGTCCTTTGTAGCACAAGACATCTTTCTGCTCTGCTTTTTCTAATTCAGGAACCTCTGAATAACTCCTGCCGTAGTGGCCCACAAACACTAGCTCTGCGAGAGAAAGGCCACCAAGCCTCCCTGAAGGAGCTGAATGTCCTGCTAGCTCTCCCCGACCCAGAAAGAGTCAATCGAATGGAACATTCTCCCATGTTCCTTTGGCTGCTTCAAAGGAAGTGAGTCATCAATGTAAAGATTTCTCTTTTCAGTGGCTAATTTTCTCCCCCTTAATCCTGACCAGTATGAAAGTTGTTACCTTGTGTAGCAGCCAAATTTTATCTCTCTTCCTGGCCTAGCCCTATTTGAACAGCAAGCAGCTCTGGGCAGATCCGGAGATGGGGAAGACAAGCTGGGGTAGCAGGGAGGGCCAGTTTCGGGCCCATGTCCCCCACCCCCAGAGCACCAGACCTGACCCCACAGGACGGCCCCGCTATTTCCCATGAGCCTTTGGCCCTACTTACGGCAGGCTGGGCTGGTACAGTAGACAGAGGGGACCCAGAGATTGGAGGAGCCGGTGTCGAAGATGACGGTGAAGTTTTGTGGTGGGGAGCCGATGGAGATAGTGCCAAAGTATTCCATCTGCAGGAGGAGAGAGAGGAAGGGGGATGTGGGCCGAGGGAGGAGAGGGTGTTCAGCAGGGGTCCTGGGCTTAGAGCCATAGGCTGGTGTCTGTGGGCTAGAGCTTACAGAGCTCAGGGAAGAAAACGTAAGAGGACCAGAGAGAGGGCCGTGCGAGAAGAACTCAAGCCAAGCCCCCAGTAATGGGATTCGATTTCACTTGCATCATCCTGATTTTCCTAATAACATCATGGGGAAGGCAGGGGAAGCAGACCCACTTTACAGGTCAGGGAATGGGGGCCGGAGAAGTCAAGTTCTTTGCCTAGTGTCAGAGCTAGTAAGCTGCCCAGCGGAGGGCAGAATCGAGGTCCTTCCCTTTGGGGTGCCCGTCACCTTCCCCCCTCTTCTTCTGCAGAGAGCTCTACGCATGGGAGCCCTGGGGATCAGACCCCGTGAATTGTCCAAGCAGCAAAATCTGGGAGGGTCTTCAGCATTGAGGCCGGTGCGGCTCAGGCCAAGCCTCCCTCCCTCTCCCGCCTCTCCCCGGCCCCCCATCCCAGGAGGCCTCACATCCAGGTAGTTGATGAGGGGCTCATTGTCACTCTGGATGGTGGAGCACTGGTCCAAGTCCAAGTTCTGGGATTTCCAGAAGTCAGTGAGCTGGCCTTGGGCCTGCAGCTTCTTACGGAGGGACTCACGCCTTTTGAGGGGAACCCTGTAGGCGAATCCCTGTGTGAGCAATGGTGCAGCCCAGTTTCCCTCTCCTCCCCACCCACTTCTCCTGCGTTAGCTCTGAGCTAACTAGAGAATGACACAGGCGGAGACCTGCAGGGTCCCCCTTGGCCTCCAGCTCACCACTCTGTCCTGCAGATTCTTAGAATCCCGGTGTGGACACAGCTCTCACTCCTGGCGGTGGACTCTGTGAGGCCTTCTAAGGCATGAGATGCAACCCTCTCCAACTTTACCTGAAGCCCTTGGAGGGCTGATTTAAAGGGACAGAGGAGCTCTTGGCGACAGTGATATCAGCTATATTTAGGGGAAGTTATTTGAAGGTTTTGAGCAACAAACCACAGTTGTAGGCTCCTGCTCTTTTGCAAGCCAAGCAGTGCATCAGCGTAGGGCCTCCACTACAGGTGGGGCCAGGGGTCGACTTGCCGGATACAGGAGATCAAGGCCACGCATCAGGTGGTCATCGGAAAAGCTCCCTACAGACCGTGCAAGCCCTCGCGTTCTGCTCCTCTCCCCTCCCCCCCCATCACCTTTCTTCTCCCAGGCAGCCCTGCATTGCTGGGGGGAGGGGTCCCCAGGTGCCCGGGCCATGGCCTCACCTGTGAATGGCTCCCAGGGCCTGTCCCGGCTCCAGGAGCACCAGCAGTAGCAGCACGCATGCCCTCACCATGATCTGAACAGCAGCCTCTCTCGCTCTGCCGAGGCCTGTCTCCCTCCTCTTTCTTCCTCTCTCACAGAGCAGGGGAACCAACTCTTCCGGCACTTAAATCTGCCCTGCCCTGCCCGGTCTGAGGACCCAGTGATAAGGCTGACTTAATAGTCGTGCCCAGAGCAAACAGCATGTGTAACGAGCCAGTCCTTCTCCACCCTGCACCGCTCTGTACTGCAAAGGGGTGTCAGTCTGGGGTGGAACTTGGGAGTCCATGCGGTCCCAGGCTCCCCACCCTATGTTAATTGGGACATGTCCCAGGACACTTGGAGGTCACTGTGGAGCTGCTACCATGCGCAACAGAGCTGAAGTCTCCCGAGGGACAGAGGCCCAACAGTCCTGTGCGTGGCGGGACTGTCGCCCAAGGAATGAATCAGTCTGTTTTCTCTGTATTTCTTATTCTGTCCTCTGTCCTCTTATTCTGCCCTCAGATGCCCCAAAGGTGGCTTATCTTTCCATCACTGGGGAGAAGCAGAAGCTAGCAATGCCCCGAAACCCCAAAGGGGATTTGTAGGGACGACTTTCCCATCCGAAGAACTTGATGAATTGTGTGGAGAACACAGAGAGGTCAAAGTTCTGGGGTTTTTCATCTTTATGGAAATCTACTTGACATTTCTGGACCCACAAAGTCTTGGCTTAGCTCTTCTGGGATCCATTGAGGGTTGGTGAGGAGACAGGGGCTGCCCCAAGTGCTTGTGCTGGCTCTCCAGGGCCGCCAGAACGAAGCACCACAGGCCGCATGGTTTAAACAGTAACATTTGTTTTCCCGGGGCCTGGAAGGCCAAGGTCCAAGGGGAAGGTGAGGCCAGAGCTGATTGTTTTCAAGGACCTTCCACACCTTCCCCAGATCTTCCTTCTGTGTGTGACTGTGCCTCAATCCCCTCCCTTTGTAAGGACACTGGCCACATAGGACTAACAGCCCCTAATGACCTCATTTAATCTTAAGGCTTTTCAAAGACCCTAACTCTGAATAGGGTCACACTTTGGGGTGCTGAAGATTAGGACCTCAACATACGCATTTTGGGGGATGCAGTTCAGCCCATAAATAGTGCCAGGGGACAACAGGATCATCAATAGATACCCAAGGCCAAGGCCAGGTGGGGGCTGAAGAGCTCGGGGCTGAGTTATCTCACCACCAGGAAGACTCTTTCCTTACCCGGACCCAGGGCAGCAGAGGCCCCTGTCACTGCCACACCTGCCCATGCTTTGACCCCTGACTCGCGGCAGCCAAAGCTCTTTGGCAATTCATCCTCTTCCCAGGAGCCCGTCTCTGTCTCTTTGACTTTTCAGCACCAAGCTCTGCTGTGATTGCCTCACACCAGTCAGTCCTGTCATCCGCCAATTACTCGGCCTGGCCTGCGCCGGCAGGTGTTTAGAAAGATTAAATATGCAAAATAAGGTATCTGAAAGTGCCTGCAAAACTACAATGTGCCGTAGAGACCAGAGATCTTCACTACAAAAACCTGGAGCTGGAAGGCTTCTTATGGACCCAAGGCAAACCTACGCACCACGCACAGCAATGAAGACAGAGGCACAGGGAGGAAGTGACAGCCAAAGAGCATGTGGTTCATGTGTGGCAGAGCTGGGACCACGTCCCGGGCCTCCTGACTGCCACTACAGATCGACAGCATCCTTATCGCTCAGCTGTTAAAGTGAGCAGATCGAGCCCCCCCGTGTCCCCACCTTCCCGACCCCTCCTCACCTCCATCCTGCCTCTGTTCCCTGGGAGGCAAGGATCTGACTGGTCCAGGCTTGGAGCTGACACAGCCTGGCCTGTCTTCTAGGAAGTGCAGGGGCTGGCTGGATTTTGGGAGGTCTGACAAGGTTAGGAGCAGTGACTGGGGACATTTGTCAGAACTAATGATGAATGGGTCACGTCCTGTCTGTCAGGAGCCGCTGATTCCCAGGCTGCAGCTGAGAATTGCTGTCGAAGATGTGACCTCTCTCTGGGCATCCAAAGCTCCCGGTTTGTGTGTGACGGTGCGGACATGGCCTTTGAGGAAAGGCAGAGGGAAGATAGCTCGGGTGAAGGTGGGGCACGGTATGGGCAAACACCCAGAATTTCAGCATTGGGCGAGGAACTTCAGGGAGAGAGACCCTCGGGGAGGTGGTAAGAGGCTGGCGTTTGGAAGCCACTGGTGGTGACACTGTGCGATCAACTTCCCTCTGCTTCAGCCTGCAGAGGTGGATTAAGGAGAGGACAGTTGTTCAGTGCTCTGTGGAAACAGCTGTATCAGAGCTTGACAGCACTGGGCAGATGCTCAGGAGGGGCTCATGGGAAGACAGCTCAGGATGGCGTGCTCTGATGACACAGCTAGCTCCTGGTAGCAAGGGAGCCAGTACTATGTGACCCTAGCTCTGGTCATGGTCAGCTCTGCATGAGACTGTTCCAATCCTTTTCTGTTCCGAGTTGATGAGGAAGGAAAATCCACCGTGCTGTGTGGTTCAGTGGGAAAGGGCTGGGCAGAGAGATCTGGATCCAGCCTTGGCTCAGCAGTAACTGGCTGTCTGACTGCAGGCAGAACACTTCTCTCTGAATCCAGTCTCCTTGTCTGCGAAGTGAAGGCGTTGGCTGCATGATAATAAAAAGGAACATCTGGGGACATAAGCCATGTGTTAGGCTCAGAGTGAAGGAATTTGCAAGCAGTAGCTCCTTTGGTTCGCACACCAATCCTATCAGTGGGTATTTGAAAGGCCATTTTACAGGTGAGTAACGGAGACACAGCAGGTGTAGGTAACTTGCATAACGTGCCGTATTCAGGATACGAAGTCAGGTTTACCTGACTTTAAAGTGGATGTCTGTAAGCACAGCACTGCTTTGGGGGAACTCTAGGGCCCTAATTCTAGGACTTTTGAGAAAGAGAGGAAGAAAGAGAGAATTGTAGAGTCTTCTGATTGTAAAAAGAGAAATGCGGAAGGAAGGAAAAGGAAGAAAGGGGGAAATAGAAGGGAAAAAAATGGAAACCAAGCTTGTAAATAAGAAGGGGAAGAGGGTGGAAGAGAGACGGGAAGGGACTGGGGGAAAAAGAAGCGAGATGTATCACGTATCAGACTCGCTAGGATGAATGTGAACATTGAGTACATCTAACACTCACCAATAAATTAATTTTTTAAAGGCTGAAAAAACCCCGCAAGTGTTGTGCCAGCGTGGTGTGGATGCGGAGCTCTCTTACAGGAAAGCTTCTCGTTGCCTGTGCTTTGTGAGCATTTTCTGTGTTGCCTCAGGAAGGGTCATTACTGAATTCCTTAGTTTGATTGGTCCCACAGCTCCTTCGGTTCCACCCTGGAAAAGTGACTTTCAGGTCACCAATTGCTACAACACAGCAGAGCCCACAGGCAGCTGGGAAGTTTCTCCTGAATTTTGCCTCTGTGTGCGTGTGTGTGTGTGTGTGTGTGTGTGTGTGTGTGTGTGCACACGTGTCTCTGTGCCTATAAAGCTGGAAGCTTGCTCCTGAGCCCAGACTTTGGAAGCAGACAGATTAGCATTTGAACGCGAGCTCTGCCACTTACTTAGCAGATGGCTGTGTGGCAGCAAGGAAGTTTTGGAGCCTGTGGTTCTTCCACCATCAGGAGGAAGGACAATTTCCCTGGAGAACGACATGGGAATCCATGCTGTCTAGGTGACACCAACCCAGAGCTGCCTCTGGCCAAGCCCTTAGTCCCGGGCGCTGGACGGATCACAGAGGCAGGGCAGGTGCCTGGCTTGGACCCAGTACCCTCTGATACTACACATTGCTCTGGGTTTTTTAAAGGTAATGGGCCCAGCCACCAGACGGGATTTATTCAAAGTCACAGAGCTGGTAATAAGGGATCTGAGCTCTGGCTCAGGGAGCTGTTCTGCACGTCTGTGATGGTAGAGATCGGCAGTTCATATGTATGCTCCTGTTTGTATTAACAGGCTGAAATACACGCTGAAGGTCATTACTCTTCTGTGTATCCTACCTGTCCTGGAAAATTATTAAGGCTTCTACTGAGAGTCCTCAGGGAAGTACTCAGGCTTCAGATAGGCTAAAGGTAGAATTTCAATCTCAGTCTGTCCTTCAGTGTGAATTTGTTTCCACCGCTGAAACCTCTTGTCTTGCTTCTAGTCTGTTAACTGCTCTGGAAACCCACAGAAGAAAAACAAACTAAAGTTGCAATTAAGAGTACTTCTATTCCAAGACGCCAAGACTGACTGACCTTTCAACAGGTTGAATCAGGTTCAGCAAGCTTCCAAAGTGAGCCCCCTTTTCAGGTGTCCCTCTGACCCCTGCTGGGAAAGGTTATCTCCCTGTAAAAACTGTGTAGTAACGTCTGCAGAAAACCTAGGGTCACCTTCCACCTTTAGGTCTTTACATCTGCAAAGCCTCTTTTGCCATGAAAAAACATTATTCATAAATCCCTGGAATTAGAAATGAACACCTTTGGGGGACCAGAATTCTAGTTGCTAACTACATTGAACTACTTTTGAAGAGTTCAGTGACATGGGCAGGGGATTTACCTCAGTGGTGCCGTGCTGGTCTCACAAGCACAGGGTCCTGAGTTTGATCCCTTCTCTGTGTGTGTGTGTGGGGGGATCAATAACAAAAGAATGACCCGAAGCCTTTATTTTGAGCCCCTGGGCAGAGAGTAGTGTGTTTGCTAAAAGCAGGGTTCGGGGAGCAGAAACAGGTCCGAGAAGGGGAGAATCAAGACTCCAAGCCAGTGCAGTGACCTCTGAGAGGCTGGCAGACCTTCCAGGGGTGTGATCAGGTTGACCCTAGAATTCATAGGTGCCCCTAAGACAGACATTTAGGAGACATCAGTGGTTAAAGCCCTGAAGCTGTCACTGCTCTGTGGCCTCCAGGCAGGTGAAGGAGAAAGAAGGAGTAAGGAAAGGAGAGGGGGCAGAAAACTACACACACACACACACACACACACACACACACACACACACCCCTTCAGAGCCTCCCATAATTCAATGCGACTCTCAAATCCCACTGTCTGTTCCCTGGAGGCAGGTTGCCCAGGGTTATCTAGGGTGCATTTTAAAGTACAGGAAGATACCTCTGTCCCACCTTGCTTAAAATTCCATCTTTGTCCAGTCCTTCTCTAGAGTGAGGCATCATCCTCTTAGCACAGCGTCTGGCAACAAGCACTCAACAAATATTAGCTACTTTTATTATTCAGCCTTTTCAAAAATGGCCGCGTCTCTGGGGAAGATGGTCAGTCGTTCCTTAGTATGAATTAGTTTCTCAGCATGAAGAGTTAGGAAAGAAGCTTGGGCGGGGTTGCAGAGAGAGGAAAGGGTTTCCAGAACAAGCAAAGGCATCTACAACAAATCTTGATTTCTGGTTTTGCTGAGGCTCACGCTTGCAGAGCTCGAAGATGGCTGGGCTGTGGCAGAGGAAAGGAAGAGGCTTTCAAGGGAGGGGTGAGGGGAGATGCTGGGCCGGTGCAGCTGGCAGTGAGAGTCGCGGCCTCCACAGCATGGTCCACTCCTCCAGCTGCTACCACCGCTGCTGCTGCTCCTGCTCGCTTGCCAGCCGGGGGGACAGGTAAGGCTTCTGTGCAGGCCGAGGCTCGGCTCGGCGCTCAACAACTAGGCCACACACTGAGAGGCCACACACTGAGAGGTCTGACAGGAGATTTTATTACGGAAGGCAGGTTAGGGAGAGAGGAGAGAGAAGAAGAGAAGAACAAAGAAAGGAAGGTCCTTGTATGGGTTTTGGGCTGGGCTCTTGCTTATTTATGAGGAATGGGCTACCTTTAACCTATCACAGGCCAGGTTGTCCTTTATGGGCTTGGTCCTGGAGAAACAGGTTTAACCTCTCCAGACCGCTGTGGCCTTGGGGGGAAGGGAAACTAAAGATAAGAGCACGAGGTCTTTAAGAGCCAAGAAGCACCAGGAAAATGCAGCCTGTGATGGGGGGCAGGTGGTCTAAAGGGATTAGAGATCGCTGGAAACAACGCTGAGGTTGGGTTCGCACCTGAGGCTCACGGCATGAGGCTCCTGCTGTGGAATTAGGGCCTTGGGGTGCGAGCTGGGATCCCACGGCTGCTGGGTGACACCTGGCCCACCTCGGTCTAAATCCCAGGTTGCAACGCCTGTCCCTGGGGGCCAGGGCCCACGCTCTGGGCAGCTCGGGGGCTGACCAGAATCAGTCCACACCTGTGCTGTCCAGCGTGGGGACAACTTGAACTGAGATTGCCAGGGGCAAACCCACAGACTCTGAACACTTAGTAGCAAGGAAGTGCAAGATACTTTGCTAAACTTCATCCTGAGTATGGTTGGAATGTTTTGACATATCAGGCTAAGTAAACTAGACTGCATAAGATTTATGACACCTGTTCGTTTTTATGTCTATGAGTCCTTTATTATCAGCGTGGCTCTCATGGTGTTTCTCTCTCACGTCTCTGACTGGAGCCGCCCTGCTTTCCCTCTGCCCTCCGCTTTTGCTGCCCTTAACCACTCACAGACTGGAGGGACCCCTCTCCCTGGGCTTCCAGAGTCCCAGGACATTTTATTGAGTGCAGCAGGCTCTCTGGTGTATTTGCCTCTGTGGACTCCGGGCTGTACCTTTCAAACCCGCCGCTTGCGCTGTTCTAGCCCCAGCTATGATTGCCTGCACCCCCGCGTCCTAGGGTAGGATCATCCGGCCGCTGTGCCTGTAGATTCTCTTTAACTGACCCCCTACGCTACCGGCCCTACAGTGCATGTACGGAATTGATATATTTTATTTTAAGACAGGGTCTTGCTGAATTGCCAGGTGAGACTGAACTTGTGGTCCTCCTGCCTCAGCCTCCTGTGCAGCTGAGGTTATGGGTTTGAACCACGGCACTCATCTGAGAACCCCCACTTCTCAGCCCCTCTCTGGTGGGATCTCAGGGCCAGCAGAGCATCAGCTGCCTGTAGGCAACCTAGGTGATGGGCTTTGGTTATTGATTAGCAAATTGTTTCGTGTTATTAGGATTTTTACTTAGCATGTATATTCCAATAGGAAGAATTAGTGCTGGGTACTGATGTACGCTGGATCAGTTCTCTAGGCTGTGTGAGGAACCAGCCCAGGTGGGTTTAGAGCACTTGCATTGTAGTCCCAGTGTGGTTCCTGCTTACTGAGTGGCCTAGGGTACATGGTTTCACTCTGTCAAACAGGACCTTCACACACACCACACACACACACACACATACACACACACACACACACACACTAACAGGACCTTTGCAATCTGTGACCAGGACCTGCTGGACAGGGAAATGGAATTTGGTTGTCCTGGTAGCTTACTGCCTAAGGGCTTACATTTGGACAGACTTTTTCTAAATAAGAGTGTATTTCAAATCATCCTCAGAACTTGTTATTTCCTGGTGTTCAGTGTCTGCTGAGTGTGCTGCTCACCGTGCATTGTGGGTGGGCAGGAACAGCTCAAGTTCATTTCCAAGGATTTGGGGCCTCTGGTGGCTGCCGCTTGGAGGTGGTTTCCAGAGTGGGTCTGCAGGCGCCTCCTGGGCGTTGTGGTCCGGCATCTCTGCTCTGACTCCAGCAAAGCCCATGGTCCATTCAGCAGACAAAACGGAAGTGCGGGGCTCCTTCTTCAGCCTGCTCACTTATCCTCCCAAAAGCTGTTAATTTACAAGAGCAGCATCGGAGACAGGAGTCTCCTCTTTAAGATTCTGGCAGACTATTGCCTTTCAAGCTGGATACAGAGGTGCAGCAGGTCCAGCCTGGCCCTTCCCGGCCACAGCTCTGAGCAGTCTAGGGCAGTTAAGGGCCCTCTGACCCCCAACTCAGGTCAGACCCGCATCTCTTCATTCAGTGCCTGCTGATTGCTGCTAAGGTGGCCTCTGAAGATTAATTTTTCTGATGAGTTGTCATTTCTTGTTCTAAATCTCTGGAGGGACAATTTACGTGTCCTGCAGTACTTATTTCTTCTAACCAGATTTTGGGCCAAAAAAATGATTTCTGTTTGTTCCATTAGGCTGAGCCATCAGTTAATTCACTACGAGTCTTTGAAGCTTGATGCTAAAAAAAGAAATGGGTGAGGGTGTATTCATCTTTTATCTACCTCCCTTTGAAAGGGGACGGGGAAAAGGGGCAGAAATAACTGTTTGTAAGAATCTGAAACCCCGTTTTTAATGTTTCCATTAGCAGCCAGCGCTTGCCTGTTCAATGCATTCCAGAACTACTGGTCAAGAACCCTGCCTGACATTGTACAGCTGTAAATAAAAGGAAAGAAAATGTTTTTTATGAATAAAATCCCTGTTGAGTTACTTCAGGAAAACAAATGAACAAACAGGCAAGCAAACTCCTTAAAGGTCTTTCAACATATCAGCCGGGAAGATGATCAAGGCATACAGGCTGCTTTCAAACTAGCTCCCTTACAGAAATCCATCTGGCAGGCTCCTGGTTGGTAGCCTAGTCTTGCAGGCAGCTGTTTGGGATGAAGGAGCCAAAGTTGTCTTTCTGTTTGGTCAGCTATAAGCCCCCTCTTCCAAAAGATCAGGACCCATGGGAGCTACATCTGAAAAAACAAAAGCAAAAATGATGGCACGCTTAACAGCCTGAGAGCATAGTACTCCAGGAACAGGGTGGCATTTTCAGAACTACTGAAGAACGTTTGTGAGAATCCCTAACTGGGCCAAGAGCCTTTCAAACCAGGGAGCCCACAGCAGGCCCTCAGTAAATGCTGCGTAGACAGACTCGGTGAGGAGCGAGCTCTTTCTGACTTGGCCTCCTGGCTGGACCCTCTCGCTCTCTCCTAAAGCTGCTTCTGAGGCCACAGGAGGAAGGAGCAGGCCCCATGGACTCTGCAGATGGGAGAACGACCACACAGGCCATCCCTGTGTGGAAGAAGATGTGAAATCCTGTGGGCCAGGCATGGCAGTGTTTTCCAGGGCTGCTGGGTCAGCGGTGGAGATGAGGGAGTGGACGGGGACAGAGGATGGACAGAGGACAGTTGTTAGGAATGGTGTGAGCTTTCACTGCAGCCCAAGGCTCTGCGGACCTGAGAAGGCTCTGAGAGGATCAGTTAGATGCTGGACTCCCTACCTCCCTCTGGATCATCCACGAGTTCTTCCTAAGAGCAGCACAAATAGAAATAGTCCAAGAGCCAGGTGCAGTGGTGCATGCCTGTAATACCAGCAGTTGGGAAGCTGAGGCAGGAGACTTGCCATGGAGTCAGAGGCCAACATGGGCTACATAGTGAGACCCTGTCTCAAAACAAAGCAAAACAAATGGCTGTAGCTCAGTGCAAAGGCCCTGGGTTCGATTCCTAGTAATACACACACACACACACACACACACACACACACACACACACACACGACCAAGAAAAGCTGTGATGGAGCAGTAGTTCCCACTAGGGATGGGGTGTTGGGTGCAGGATAGGAGGATCTGAGAAGAGAGCCCTGAGTCCCTTGCAGGCAGGATATGTTTCCGGAGCTGCCAGAGATGTTCTGGATGGCGCTCTGCCCTTCACAGTCTCCCATCTACATTACAACATCTGTGACTTTTACATCTACTCTGCACACAGCTTTGGATTTGAAATCAGGATAAACATAAAATGAGCCCAAGGCGGCACCAGATGACGGTGCCGTGTAGGGAAACGTACTTTACTATAGAATCCGGGGAAGGCAGAAACAGCCCAGGTCCATCTCATCACACTTTAAAAGAGATGCGCTGCAAAGCCGGGCGCAGTGGCCCACGCCTGTAATCCCAGCCCTCGGGAGGCTGAGGCAGGAGGATCGCTGTGAGTTTGAGACCAGCCTGGGCTACATAGTGAGTTCCAGGTCAGTCTCAACTACATAGTGAGACCCTGTCTCAAAAAACAAAA